ATAAGATTGCCCAAGAAGCATTTAAGGAGAGGAGAACAGGAAGCCAAGGTTAGAAAGCAGGAGAATATCAACATTTATGCTTTGAGAAGAGGAGGAAGGAGCTGGCAAAGAAGACCAAGGGGAAGGGCAGTTAGGACAGTGTCAGGTTGAGGAGGCTAAGGGGGTAGGAACGCTAGAAGTGAAGGGTCACTGTGGTGGATGCAGTGAAGAGGTCCTTAAAGACAAGAGTCATTGGACTTCACAGGATGGGGGTCCCTGTTTCAGGGCTGTGGTGGGCATGGAAGCCAATTGTGAAGGACTGAGGATGGGATAGGAAGTGGGGAAACGGGAGATGCTGTCAGACAGCTTTGCTGACACAGGGAGGATGCCCAAGGGGTATTTTTTAAAATGAAAGAGTACTTTTATTTGTAAGTGTAATGGGGGAGAGAAAGAATAAAGATAGAGTTTATCAAACAGGATTAAGTGGGAAAGCAGGGCCTCGAGGAAGAATCTGTCCTGATAGACACGCCTGCGAGGGGTGGATGTGTATAGATGTGGGTAGATTTGCAGATGAGGTGACAGGAGAAGAGGTTGAGGTTATTTCATACCTGACGGCTTGATGCTCATGATGAACCAGGAGATGAGGCTGTGGGCTTGTGAAGGATCATGTTATAGAAGCCCTCTCTTCTCTATGGGCTTGTCAGGTGGCTTAGTGGTAAAGAATCTGCCTGCAATGTAGGAGACGTGGGTTTGATCCCTGGGTCAGGAAGATCTGGATGAGGAAATGGCAACTCACTCCAGTAGTTTTGCCTGAAAAATTCCATGGACAGAGGAGCCTGGAGGGTTACAGTCCACGGGGCTACAAAGAGTCGGACACGACTGAGTGATGGAGAATGAGTAGGAGCACTCTTCCTTACACTCTGGCTTCCTGCCCTTTGACTGCCTTCGCAGAAGCCAGCTGGCCACTGGGAAGCTAATTTGTAAACAGTGAGTTCACTGTGTAAGGCTCAGGTCACAATAGGGGCAGGGAAGTGTCCGGGATGTAAGCGAACAGGTCATCCTTTGCATCCTCATCCAAGGTTGACTTGTGTCCCTGGATTCTGGATGTTTGGGCAGCTCAGAAGTGGGAGGAAAGGAAGTAAGTAGCTGGATGCTATTCTAATAGCTCTGTGCTGAGTCCTGACTATGGCTCTAAGAAATGTGACTTTGGGCAAAGTCTTTAAAGTTTAGGTTCTGTAGGTGATATCTGAGAGTCATACATACTCTAAACCTCTATGAGCACCTGCTCCCTAGGAGTCAAATAATAGTTTTGTTTTGTTTTTTAAGTTGATTTATTTATGGGGAAGAAAACTTACAATGGAAAATAAACAGGAAATAAATTTCTATTCAAATTGCATCTTTCGTATTTTGATTTCCTTGCATGAACAGTTTACACATTGTATGCTCTTTTTACTAAAGCATACCTTGTCACACTAAAAAAAAAAAAAAAATTAGGCATACTATCAAAAATACACAAGTCAAGAAAACAGGACAACTCAGCTTTGACCCCCTTGCACTCACCACCCTGGATGATTTTTAAGCAATTTCCAGATAGCGTATCATTTCAGTGTTAAATATTTCCGAGTGTATTTCTAAAGAGCAAGATTGCTTAAGGAAAAAAAAAAAAAACTCAGTATTGATATCACATTAATAATAATATCTAATCAGTGCTCATACTTCCCCCAATTGTCTCATAATATTTTTTTATGTTTTTAAATTCAAATCAGGGTCCAAGTTAAATTTCACACGCTGTATTTGGTTGATGTGCTTCTTAAGTTTTTGTTTTGTTTTGTCTTTTTAACACTGATGGCCACTGTCTAAGAGTCCTGTAATTCCACAACAACTCCTGATTTCATGTCATTTCCCCCAGTGTAGGTCTGCCCTTTAATTTTAGGAGCTGTAAGGAACCACTGCAGTTTAGACAACAAAGCCTCTAAAGATTCATTTTAAAATTCCTTCCAGACACACTTAGAAGTATAAAAATAATAAATAAAGAAAAGAGGATAGAAAGAAGAAAAGGCTGGAGGGAGTCATAAGAAGACACATGAAGTCTCAAGGGGAACAAAAGAAAAGGACTTTTGTAGCAGGGGCTTAAGTAACCCCCATCCACCAAGAAGCTTGAAAATCCTTACAAATGTGTTTCATACTTTTTTTTTTTTTTTTTTTACTGTCACCTGGCTTAGCAAGTGGCAAACATGAATCTTTAAATAATAACATTCTGTTTATTTAGCGTGTTTTCCCCAGACAGTTTATCAAATAGCTGAGTGGGGATCGTTGAAGTCATCCTCTATGTAAAGTGGGGAAAGGTAGGAATTCTAATTCCCATTTTACAGATGAGGAAACAATTGATGCAGCTAGTAATAGCTGTATCACAGCCATTTGCTGTTCATCAGGCATTTTGCTGAACTTGATGATGTTATCTAATTGGATCCTTTTAACAAGCTGATGACATTGGTATAAGGAGCGTTATAATCTTTATAACAAACTGATGACATGATGAAAATAACAGTCAGAGAGGGAGAATAACTTGCCCACAGTTACAGATCTGGGGAAATCAAGGAGCAGAGATGGAAATTCAAGGCTGTCAAACCCACTGTTCTTTTTTTCCAGGTCAGTCTGCTCTCTACTAAGTCATCAATCTTGTTCTGCATAGACTTGCTCACTGGCAAAATTCCATTTAGAGAGTAGCACAGAGCATCACCAAATATAATAACAGGGTACAGTGTGCTGGAATTTGCAAAGCATTTTCCTTCCCACAGACTGTCTCATTTCTTTCTTATAACCACCTTGAAAAATAGGGCAGGTGTGTTAATTTGTGTTTTACAGATGAGGAAATTGAAATTCAAAGCTCTTGGTTATGTTAGTTGGTAATCATGCAGCTAGCGAGGGCAGTGAGTGTCATGGAGCTAGTTTGCAGTAGAGTGAGGATCAGAGGCTCTTTCTTCTGATTCCAGATCCCGTGTTTCTCGGGTCCTCTTTGCAAACCTCCTGGGCCCACACCTTTAGCTGCTGACATTTTTTCCATGCCCCCTCTGATGTTCCTTGTGCAAAGTCGAGTAGGCTTATTACAAATTAAATATCAGGAAGCTCGAACTGATGAACAGGAAGGAAATGAGGCTGCTAATGCTCAGAGGAATGGAATCGAGATGCATTTTTTTTTGGCAGAATTTTGGGCCAACTGGCCTCTTTCTGTCCTTCCCTTCCCTGTGTCCTTCCAGTCTCCATGGAAACCCCAAATCAATGTGGCATATGTTGATTCATGTTTCTACTGTTACTAGGAAGCTACAAACTGGAAATTGCTTTTAAAAGATTTGTGGAAGAGCTTTAGCATGCTGACCAGAATTCAAATCTAATATCCAAATGACTGTTTTATTAAAAGCTTTTAATGTGGTCCTATCCTAGGTGGTATGTTGATGAAATAAGCACACAGGGGGCATTTGGCAATAAACTTCCGCTTCCACTATCGTGGCTTTTAAAAATATTATATTGCAGTCTTTAATTCCCTTTATCTTCAATGTAATTACATTTCCGTGGCCCGTGTGACAATGCCAGGTGTCCTTTTGCTCTTGATTAATTCCACTCTGCCCCAACCAGGCAGTTGGGAACAATAGTTTGCAGATGCCGTAGGTACCTGGACGGCTGCCCCTGGGCGTCGTTAACATTAGGCTGACTTCCATCTTGACCTGGAGACTGCAGAAGTCTGGTGTGTTTCTGCCATAAGGAATTCTCGGTGATTTTTCACATTTTCTCATGAACTGAAAATCAAATGCAGCTGACATTTATTAAACACCTGCTCCATACCAGGCAATGAAAATTGAAAGCAGGGGGAACGAGTCAGAGAGTCTGTCTTTGTGGAGCACACAGTCATTTGGGAGGATCCGAAAACATAAATCACAAGGATAAACTACAGGCTGTGATGCGGGCTGTCAGAGAATCACATAGCACACTGGTGATGCGGGATGGGGGGATTCCTCCTGACTGAGGGGGCTCTGGAAAAGCTTTGGAAAGGCCAAGTTCTAGCTTGGAGATGTTGGGTTTCAGGAAGGACCTGGGAGTTAAGAGACAGACCCAGAGTGGAGACATTCAGAGAGCCTAGCTGAGGAATCAGGTTTGTGCTTGCATGCATGCATGTGTGTGTATGTGCACGCATGCACAGGCCTGAGTGTACAGCGGGAAATGAGACTGGATAGGTAAATGGGACCAAATTATTGGAATATCAGGCAGGACAGGGAGTTAGCATGGAGCCCATTATACAGATGATCTGCTTTGTTGTTGCTGTTTAGTCACTCATTTGTGTCCCACTCTTTTGCAACCCCGTGGACTATAGCCCGCCAGGCTCCTCTGTCCATGGGATATTCCAGGCAAGAATACTGGAGTGGATTGCTGTTTTCTTCTCCAGGGAATCTTCCTGACCCAGGGATCAAACCCATGTCTCCTGCACTGCAAGTGGATTCTTACCACTGAACCACTGGGGAATATTTGCTTTATGGATCTATTCAGTAGGTCACTCTTGTGGTAGTGGAGTGTGCCAGAAGGTTTGTGGGGAATGGAGGTGATGAAATAGGGACAGGAAGGTCAATTATTTAGGGGAGGTGGAAGGGCACGCATTGTGCTGGGTGCTGATAACCTCTGACATGGCAGCATCAATGGATGCGAGATGAGGAAATTCAGAAATAAATCAAAAATACAATGATAAGGTTTAGAATCAATTCAGCAAGAGGAATGGAGGGAAAGAAACCCCAGATACCTGCATTTATTATCTTGAGTGTCTGGAACAGAGTGATGTCATGAATGCACACAGGAGCCCAGCAAGACTGGTGGACTTGGAGGGGAAGGTGGTTGTTTTGGAGACAGTTGAGAGTCTGCAGGGTCTGAGAGGGGTGGGGCTGTCTAGAAGACCTCTTGAAATGCAGCGTGGAGCTCAAGAGAGCTAGGACCCAAGCCCTGATTCTGGAGAGAAGCTGTGCCAGGTGCTTGGGAGGATGGAGTTTCACAGAGGAGCAAGTGCAAAGAGGGACGATCATCAAGGTGCCCGGCAGCCAGAAGTGCCGAGAAGCCAGAAGAGCCAGAGGTGCCAAGAAGCCAGAGCAGGGCTTGCAATGATTGTTTTCCCAGGAAAAACCATGCGTCTCAACCTGAGATGCCGTCCTAAGCCTAGTTTTCAGCCAGCAGCTCAGGAGCTGTAAACAGAGACTAATCCAGAGTTCTACGTCCCTGGACCAGAGTCCAAGTAGCAAGTGCCTTTCTCATTAGACCTCCAGCCTGCTTGCCTTTTCCTATCTCTCTTCTTTGGGAAAGAAAACCATGCCAGGATACATATCCCCTCAGGTCAACTTAATTTCCCTCTCCTAAATTCTTTATACACCTGCCTCTATAGGAAGGAAGATAAGTGTCCTCCCTTAAAAAATTATTGACTTGTTTGACTGCACTGGGTTTTGGTTGTGGCATGCGGGATCTTTGGGGCTTTTCAGGTGGCGCTAGTGATAAAAAAATCCATCTGTCAATGCAGGAGACACCAGAGACGTGAGTTGGATCCCTGGGTCGGGAAGATCCCCTGGAGGAGGAAATGGCAACTCACTCCAGTATTCTTACCTGGAAAATTCCACAGACAGAGGAGTCTGGCGGGCTACAGTCCATGGGGTCGTCAGGAGTTGTTGGACACGACTGAGTATGCACACCCGCATCACTTGGGATCTTGAACCTGGGCCCGCTGCACTGGACTATCAGGGAAATCCCTAGAGTCCTCCCTTGGGAGGGACCTGTCCTAGGTCTGCGCTGCTCAGACTGGGGTGCTGTGAGCTTACTCCTTGGTGTTTAGGAGAGTTGGTAAAAAAATAAATAAATCAAAAGTTTGCAGTGCTTTTAATTTTCTTTTTATTCATGCTAGAATCATGTCTACACACCCTCATCCCTCTGCTCTTTATATTCCTGTTCTTTCTTTTAAAACTTTATTGTGTGGTTTCGCTCCTTAAACGTTTGGGTTGGCTTACTGACTTGCTGCGACTGTATTAATTCTCTCAAGGCTAATCGAAGATTCTGATGCCTGGTTAATATGGGTCAGCTTCCACTCGAGCCTTGGGTCCTGTACAACACTCCGCTGTCTCTTCAGGGCCTTTAAATCCTGGATGCTGGACTGTGCAGTGTAAGCCTTGGAGGAGGCCTCCAGCCCCCTGTGTCAGCACTAGTGGAGGGGGGCTCCCATGATGACCCTGCCTTTGTGTTCAGGTGAAAGGTGGAATAGGCTGGAGACACCGAGTTTGGTATCAGACACCCACCTCTGTTGCTTACAAATGGCTTTTCTCTGTTTTCCCATCTGTAAAACAGATGATAGAGACGTTGGTCTTGTAAATTTGTGTTAGTCACTCAGTTGTGTCCAGCTCTTTGCGACCCCATGGGCTATGGCCTGCCAGCATCCTCTGTCCATGGAATTCTCCAGGCAAGAATACTGGAGTGGGTTTCTATCCCCTTCTCCAGGGGATCTTCTGGACCTAGGGATGGAACCCAGGACTCCTGCATGAGGCAGATTCTTTACTGTCTGAGCCACCAGAGAAGCCTGTTAGGTTTTTGGTGACAGTTAAATAAGATAACAAAGTGCAATGTTTAGCACAGTGTCTGGCGCATACTAGTCAGTTCAGTCACTCCGTTATGTCGGACTCTTTGCGACCCCATGGACTGCAGCACGCCAGGCTTCCCTGTCCGTCGCCAACTCCCAGAACTTGCTCAGACTCGTTTCCATTGAGTCGCTGATGGCATCCAACCATCTCATCCTCTGTCATCCCCTTCTCCTCCTGCCTTCAATCTTTCCCAGCATCAGGGTCTTTCCCAGTGAATCAGTTCTTCGCATCAGGTGGCCAAAGTATCAGAGCTTCAGCTTCAGCATCAGTCCTTCCAATGAATATTCAGAACTGATTTACTTTAGGATTGACTGGTTTGATCTCCTTGGAGTATGAAAGGAGTATGAACAGTATGAAAATGGCACATACTAAGTGCTCATTAAACACTAGCCCTGGATGAAGAATCCAGGGGTGGATCCACCTTATAGTATAATCTTACCTTGGATTAGGGAAGTGCTTATTGCTGGACTTTTATTCACCGGTTTATCTGTGTGCCTCTTTCTGATGGTACAGTTCACCAGGAAAATACCCAGAAGTGAATGATTCTCTTTACGCTTTAATTCAAAATCCCAGTTTGCCTCGGGGTTCAAGACAGGAATTCGGAGGGCTAGAAAACGCTCGTTTGCATCTCCTTTTATAACACGAAGTTCCCTTTACCTAACAGAGGGGCACTGTGGACATTTTCAGAGAGAGACTGTGAGTCACTGTGGAGGCAGCATCAGAATTTTTATTTCATCCTATCATCAGTGTGGTTGCGGCAGAGCCATTGTACTGCTAGGGGCCAGGCCATGCACCAACAGATCTGCCAGGAAAGACTGCGTTCTGGCATGACGTAGTAGAAAAAGCTCTGCTCTAAAAGTCATAAGGAAGCATGTTCTGGTCCTTGAAGTGCCTCTGACGTGTGGTGTCACTTTGAAAAAGGCAGGTCACCTTCTCTACCCTCAGTTCTCTGATCTGTGTCACAGGGATGATAATACTGTCTCTGACTGTGGCAAGGGGTTGTTAAGTGACAACGCACGACAATGCTTTCTACATTGTGAACGGTTCAACAAATAGAGTCCGGTATCTTTAGAATAAAAGCATCACTTTCCATAGTGATATCTGCTGATATCTCCAGCGAGTGCTGCATTCTGGGTTTCAGAAATGATTTGCAGCAAAGTCTAGGTGCACTGGGAGCTAGTTCCTGGGTGGGAGCAGGAGGCAGTGCCTTAGAGACCTGGAGTGGAATGAGGAGAAAGAAGGTAAGTAAACTTTATCCCAGGGCAACGGTTTGTAAACTTTAGCATACATTGGAATCACCCGGAAGACCGGCCCCATCCCCAGAGTCTCCCATTCTGTAGGTCTGGGGGTGGGGCCTAAGACTTTACATTTCGAACACATTCCCAGGTGATGCTGACACTGCTGGTCCAGGGACCACACTCGGAGAATTACTGTACTAGAGCAAGCAGGAAGAGAGAGTCCTCCTTGTGGAACTGAACCGGGCAGTGTGAAGATCCATGTGGGTAAGGCGATTTGAAAGAAAAAAAAAAAAAAGACTGTAGAAGATAGAAAAATAGAGATAATGTGCGGATTGGGCAGAACAAAGGGAAAAGTCTCATTCCATGACAAATACAAGTCGGGGGAAGTTGCTAGGTGATGGATGAGGGAGAGGGGTGAATTTCCAGTGTAGGGAAACCCAGGTGAGAGGCAAGAGCATCGATTTGGAAATGTACAAGTCTGGGGAGGTGGAGATTTCTCATTAAGAAGTGAGGAGTGGTGTGCTTGGTTCTGGGGACTGGGATGGGTTGCGGGGGATGAACGCCGCTGTGGGGTAAGAGGGACAGCTGAGCTGTGGCAGAGGGGGGTAATTTCAGTGTTGTGTGGTGTGGCTTGGCAGTGTGGCACAATAGAAATTGGGAGAAAGGGGGTGGAATTTAGATGTGTGACCTGCCCCATAGCTTTCTTGCTCTCTGCATTTATCACATCACATCACACCCAGCAAGACAGCCCCCCCTCCTCCTGGTTCATTAGGAGATTTGATTCGGCTTGGCTCCTGCTGTCAGCAGCTGTCTGGGGGCAAAATCTCTATGCTCCCTGCTCCCTAAGCAGCAACCAGCCTCCAGCCAGCAGCAGAGCTCATTAGAAGACGCCCCCCACCCCCCTCCCAGACCCTTGATTTTCAGCTCACTGGTGGTGGGAAAGAGTTAATGCCTCCAGCTTCGCTGCCCCCCTGGGCAGCCTCTGGGTGCCGAGGGAGGCAGCTCTGGGCTGTGGGAACTTCTCCCTGAGCTGCTTCGCTGCAGCCAGAGGAGCAGTGAAGCAGGTTAGTGAGGCTGAAGACGGAGATGCGGGAGGAATGCCAGGCGAGCTCCGCTCAGGGGCACCTCCTGCATCCTGCCAATAAGGATGGGCGTGCAGCCTGTGCCCGGGAGCTGAGCCGCCGCCTGCTGGGTGTAGGCTGCTTCAGTATTTACCGAATGTGACAAGCAGAGAGAAGAGCTTTCAGCGGGGCCGCTTGCTGCCCGGCTCAAGTGGTGGGAGGTGTGTTGTGCATGCAGGCGTGTGGATATGTGTGTGTGTATGTGTGTGTGCGTGCACAAGTGTGCCTCTGTGTTCATGCACACATGCCCTTCACCCGCCAAGGATTTGACTGCTAAGAGAAAGATCTACTCTTTCCCCAGAGCTCCTTACCTGCAGCCTCTCTGACCATCCTGTTGGCAAAGACCCGCAGGCCATGAGGACTGGTCAAAGACAGTGAGTATCGCTTGGGTTTCTCTCTATCCTCTCCGGGGTGCCCGTGTAGGCTGATTGCATTATCCATATTTAATTAACCTGCCTCTCCATGCATATTGATTGCTTTCTTCCCGCTGAGGCTCTTAGTTCCTCTTCCCCTCTTTATAAATCTTTGCTCTTTGCTTTTAACCTTTTTTTTTCTTTCCCCTTGAGTATCCTCTCTTTCCAATATGTCTCAGCCTATCTGCCCCAGAGTCACCTGTAACTCGATGCCTACTTATTAGGGCACATGGACCAAGGTACCATCACACCTTTGACCTTCCTGGGCTCTGGGTAACCCCAAACTCTTCTACAAATTGAGGATCAAGTAAGGAAGAGACCCCAGGTGCTGGGATGAATGAGAAAGATGGAGTCAGGGTATCCTGCAAACTCTTATGTACTTGACTCTAAGCTGATATAAGGGGTGGTGGAGGGGTTTAAAGGGCAGTAGTGGCCAGTGTTGGACGAGGAAGAGAGAGAGGCAGATGTCTAAGCAGCCCTGGGAAGCCGGCATGGATGGTGGTGGGACTGGAAGAGCCGCAGGGCAGGAACGGGAGGCCAGGTGATGCTGTCCAGGTGACCTTGCCTGCTGTGAGTGTGGGTGGTAGTACCTGATTCTGCTCGGCCCCAAGCTAATAAAGGCTCCTGACCTGGGCGTCCCCCTCCTCTGGGGCTCTAACCTACAAGTCAATGAAAACAAGGCTAAGATACCACAAGTAATGATTTCTGGTGACCCTTATGGCTGTGAAGGACTTTGATTTCCTGACTTCTGTGCAAGCAGGTATATGCACAGTTAGGGCACAGATTAAGGAAACATCTTTGATGTCAGGAACACAGCCCTTGCTCAGTCTCCTGCACACAAAGTCTAATCCGTTCCCCCCCCCCCCAGTTTTAATAAAGTAATCTTTTAATTTGATTAATTATAGTAGTATGAGAGAAGGTATTTTTTTTTTAAAGTATTGGTGAAATGTTCCTGGTGATATCAAAATAATTTAACCTGCGTAGATCTTGCTGGGCCCATATCTATCTAAATTAGGTTTCTTTGAAAATGGATTCTATGTTTGGTGTCAGGGTTCCCAGGGGAACCCTTAATGGATAGGCTGCTCTCCTCACGTGTTTCTTCCTATCAATTTCGTCTGTGGGAACAAAGGGTTTGACGCCCTGAGAGTGGGACCCCCAGGAGAAAGAGGGGGGTCAGTCAATCAGGCCTCTACCTGGAGACCCCCGTTTTCCTGCTGCGCTTCCTGCTTCAGGTCAGGGACAGGCCAGTCCCCAAACTGTGGAAGGTCAGGCAGTCTCCATCTAGGCTGGAGAGAGTGACTTGCATATTCATTTCTTCAGCCTGTGCCTGTGATCCCCGCCAAGGAGCAAACCTGAGTGGTGACAGTGCCTGATGAGCCTCCCTTGGAGTTCTTCCAACCTCCCTCCCGCTCACGCCCTCCCCAGGCTCCGGCACTCCCACCTCCGGGACAGGTCCCCTCAGAGGGAGGTGAGAAACAGCCAATCAAAGGATTCTGGAGCAGGCGCTGACCCCTCCTCCCCCACCCAGGGCTGGCTGGTCACTTGGGCCCCACTCGAGTAAGACACAGAGAACAGTCATTTTGGGCTTGCGATGCCGTGCCTTCCTCCCCAGGGAGGGGCTCGCGTCCCACTTTACGTTGATGGTCAGTAGCCGGGGAAGCAGGGACTCCTGACCAACAGGCAGCAATGTGAAGCCTCCCAACACCTGGTCCTCATCCACCCTGGTTGGTCACCCTTGATCAGGACAGGAGATATCCGTGGGGGATGGGGGTGTGTGGGGAGGTATTTTCTTGGCAGACAGTCACCTGCGAGGACTTGCAGTGCAGTCAGAGAGGGGCCCCCCTCTGACAGCAGATTCTTTGATTCTAGGTGAGAGGACCTGAAAGGGTAAATCCCTGAGCCCTGCAGTCTTATCTCCCGCCCTGTCGTCCCTGCACATCAGCCAGAGGGTTAACCATAAGTGGGCGCCCATATGGCCGCTTTACTGATGCCACGCAGGTAACTGATGCTAACATGTCTTCTCACCTTTCTTTTCTCTTTTTCCACCTTCCCACCTGCCCTGCTGTCTGAGCCAGCCCCAAACCTTCTAATCCTGTAGGTGGATTGCTGGCCTCCATTCCCCCCGCCTCCTGTGTGGACTGTGTTGTGTTTGCCTGAATGCTTCTTGCAGAGTTGGGGCCTTGCAAGCAGAACCTGCCTTAGTGCCAAGCCCTGCCCCATGGGATGGGACTCAGGGGGGTGGGACTGTGCATGAGCTTGTACTGAATCATTTAGGGGTCTCTCTGTGTTACTGGGATAGAGAAGAAAGATGAGGCACCTTTGTTTTTAAAGTAACCTTAACCTTTGACTCGCGCTTCTGCTCCTGTTATTTCTGACCTAATGAAAAGGTTAAGTTTCAATTAGACAAGATAGAAAGTCAGAACTATTTTGTCCCAAAGGATATTTTATGGAAGATTTTTGCAAACTATTTGGGAGACTCACCGTTGTCTTGGTAACAAGCAGCACCCTTTACACTGGCCCCTGCTAAACCTTGTTAGATGGCTTGCATGGATTTGCCATTTATTGAAATCCTCTTAATTGCTCTTTTGGGGGCATCGACCTGACTATTCACTGACTGATGTTTCTGAGGCACCGAGGAATGAGCCAACTCACTCTGAGTTGGTTCTGGCTTGTGGTGCAGCCTGGGCAGGACCTGCACTTGAATTCATGGAATGTGATGATTCAAGGACCCTTAATCAGTTGCTCCATTAGCCTGGTGCTGGGACACCCTGTGATTTGTAAGAGCAAGTGGACATGACATGCTCACTGTCGAGGGAGAGAGAATGGCTGTAGCCAGTGTTTTGAAAAGCAAGGAAATCGATGGCTGCACAGTGAGCCTAGCTGAGACGAGAGCTGGGGGCGCAGGATGTGCAGGAAAGGAGTTATTTCTGGGACCTTGGATGTTCTGGCCTTAAAAGGCTCCTTGGAGATGGGCTGTGCACGTGTTGTCCACCCCCGCCACAGGTAATACCATCCCCATAGACATTTGCTGGATGAGATTTCTGTGAACAATGACCAGGGTCAGAGATGAAAGCCCATCTGAAGTAAAAGTGCTTAAATTGGATCTCATATCTCTGCCCAGATCCAGGATTTGTGAAAATGAGGAAGGGAAACCAGGATGGAAGAAGTTCCTTTTAACAAGGAGAATAACGTCTTCTTGGACTATTTCCACGGCAAATTGTCACCAGTGTGCACGTGGCGGTCCCCTTTTATCAGTCACTTTTAAGTCCTGCTCATCCCAAACCCCTCCCTCTTATCTTTGACCTCCATCCAAGGAGTGGTCATGGTTAGAGGTCAGGAGTCAATGAACTTAATCTCTCAGGAACCAGGGAGTAAATATTGTCAGCTTCATGGGCCATACATACAGTCTGTCCTCAACCACCCAACTGTGCCCTTATGTTCAAAAACAGCTTCAGATCATATATAAACAAGCAGGGTGTTTCCAATAAATAAAGTTCCAATAAAATTCTATTTACACAAACAGGTATCTCTCAGGGCCATAATTTTCCAATCTCAGCGAAAGGTCAAAGGGGGCTAATATTGAGAGTTAGAAAGAGATATTATCTTCGTTTCTCTTGGAGCTGTCACAACATATAACTGCAAAGTGTCTGGTCCTTAAGCAAATTAAAAATTGGGGAAATTTAAGCACGCATGTTAAAATTTTAAATATGTTGATTGAGATTAGTCAAAATACAAATAAGTGTATGAGAGCTTGGTTAAGTGAAATTGCTGACAGAGGGTACCCTGGTTCTTAGCTGCTGGTTGTACCCACTGCTTCTGCTTCCCACCTGCAGACATCAGTCCTCACTGGCCTGTCGCCATTCATGCTTATCCTCAGGTTTGTGCAATGAATGGGAAAGACCTGAGGTGGAACTGACCTGCCCTGAAGGTCCCTACTTTGTCTGTGCTCTGAGATCCTGTGACAGGCATCACTGTATCACTCAAGTATCTCTCTGCTCTCCATGTGGATATTACTGGGGCTCTGTAGTCAGGAGTTATTGCTGCTGCTGCTACTTTGCCCTCCTAGAGGGAGAGCAAAATGTGGATTGTTACTTTGTCATCACTGTATTTCCTTTCCCCACAGAGAATCCTAATTTAGAAATTCATCCAAGCTAATGACCTTCATTGACTTACCATCAACTTGCATGTCAGCTTTAAAAAGTGTTAAGCCTCTAGGGCTAGGGGACCTATTACTATTCCGGTCGTCAAGATAGGGAGTGAGTATTGCCCTTGATCCTCTTGGTGTTTCTCCTCTCGCTCATGAAATCTTCAGGGGCCACCTGGGGAAGGATGGGAGCGGGGCAGGGCTGGCTTCTGCCACAGCAGCTCCCCTTAGGGGGCTGACAGTTATTTTCATGACAGTTCCCCATCTTTCTGCCCCTGTGTTTGTTGCAGGAACAAAGGGATGAGGACTCGACTGGGATGCCTGTCTCACAAGTCTGACTCTTGTAGTGATTTCACAGCCATTCTTCCTGACAAACCCAACCGCGCTCTAAAGTGAGTAATATGGCCACACTGCATCCCCGGAGTGTCGGCCGTAGGATGCTCACGCTGGGACTATACAACTTCTTTGTTAGATGGCTGAAGAGATGAGCCGAGTGACAATAACTTCCTGTCTCTTGGCGGCTTCTTTTCTATCTTTGAACACGAATGAAAGAATGTTATTTTCCTTTTCAAAGCGTATGGCTTTAAAATTCAGAATAGGGACCCTCCTTTTTCTCCTAAGAAAGCCAGATTAGGCACCACTCTTATAAAGCTGCAGTGAAGAATACTTCTTTGTTCTACTTAATTGTCAACCTGAGCTTCTCAGTTTGGAAACACTCAAATCTACTCTTAAAAATCTGCTTAGGTTGAGATGATCTGGTTTCAGTGCCTGTTCTCTGTGCAGGCCCTGTCTTAAGTGATGTCACAGATGGGACCTTGTTTAACCCTCATGGGGTTCTGTGATGGGTGCCGTTATCCCCATTAAAGAGGTAAGGAAACAAAGGTGACAGGAAGAGATGCAGTCAGGAACTCAGCCTCATTGTTTTGTTTCCAAGTCCAGCTTCTTTTCGTTGTGATTGTGATATGTTAATTAACTAATTTATTAAGTAGAGGTATAGTTGCTTTGGTGGTTCAGATGGTAAAGAGTCCACCTGCAATGCAGGAGACCAGGTTTGATCCCCGGGGCGTTAAGACCCCCTGGAGAAGGAAATGGCAACCCACTCCAGTATGCTTGCCTGAAGAATTCTATGGACAGAGGATTCTAGCGGGCTATAGTCCATGGGGTCACAAAGAGTTGGACATGACTGAGCAACTAACACTTTAACTTTCATAGTTGGTTTACAATGACATCTGATTTCTTATTTTTTTTAATTTTGCTTTTAATTTATTTTGGCTGCCCTGTGCAGCTTATGGGATCTTAGTTTCCCTTCCAGGGATTGAACCTGGGCTCTTGGGAATGAGAGCACCGAGTCCTAATCACTGGGTTGCCAAGGAATTCCCCTACAGGGGCATCTTTAAATGATGTACTTTCTTAGTTTTGCTTTTTAGACTGAAAGCCAACTTATTAAACTTACGGAATCCCAATTCTGAGATTCTTCTATCAGCTACTTAAGAATGTGTACATTTCTAGCGACAGGATTGCAGGAGTCCAAGTATGGTCTTCATTTGCCCTCCATTGTTTTGATTTGTTCTCATGAGCAAATCTCAGTGGTGGCTGAAGGAGAGGAGGTCATTGCAGAAAGATTCAAGACAGATGTTACTTCTTTCCTAGGAGACTATCCACAGAAGAAGCTACGAGGTGGGCGGATTCCTTTGATGTACTTCTCTCCCATAAGTGTAAGTAAAATTCATTCTTTATCATGTCTCGGCAAATCATTCATTTTGTAAAAAATGAACCCACCATGATCCAGGTACCGTGCCTGGTGTTCCAGACAGCTCCAGCCTCCACCTTCAGAGAGCCTGAAAACAGACAAGAAAACATAATTTAAACGCTCTGGGAAGAGGGCCCTTAATTTCTGTTTTCTGAGCTGAAAGTTTGGTCCCAAGAAGCCTTCATGTCTCAGCAACTTTAGCAAGAAAGAATTTGACTCAGAGAGTTGGAGTGATGGGTTCATTGGGATTTTGAAAGTTCATCGAAAGTCTAGATTCCATCCAGATCTTGCTTTATAAAATTAAATGACCTCCCCCCAAGTCACTGGAGATCCTGGAGTTACTCATCAGTCAAAAGAATATTTTGTGCATTTTGTTTTTGACTTGAGTTCGCAGAGATTTGAGTTTTCTTATCCCTCCTTATTTGGGGGATTTACTGCCCCAGCCGTATTATACCCTCAACTTGGCCTTAAGTTTTATTAGTACACACTTCTGATATCTCTCCTCTTCTGATTCCCCCTTTCCTCATCTCATATGCCTTCTGTTTGTCACAAAGACAGAAAGAGTTGTGCATTTTGCCATGAAGGAGGGGCATTTTGATGGCAGCCAGATTTTTCAGCTCTTGCTTTTTTCCTCATTGTAAGCAAGTCCAAGTTCATTGGGCTTCACGTCCTAGTGGCATGAAAAACATGAAAGTGGGAAAGCAGAGGTGAAGAAGACGGAGGGGTCTTTTGAGGAGAAAAGAGGGTTTTACACAGGCATTCAGTGCTCCCCGTAAATTCATCTTATTGGCATTAGGAATCCTGATTGATCTGGGAGCGGGAGGGAAGCTTTTGGCATGGAGAATGGAACATGATTTTGCACCGCAAAGTGAAGGGCATTGGCTGGTATATAGTTGTGTTCTGGATCCTGACTCAGCTTGGCTACCAGAGAGTTGATGGCCTTGATGGGGTTGCTCAATCTTTAGAAGATGTCTTTAAAAGTGACTTTGCTTTCATCTAGAGGAGCAGTTCCTTCTAATTATATCCTTAGTCCTAATACTAATTAACAAATGCTTTTGAATAGATTTTAAAGTGAATTGCAAAGTTTAAGAATAAGCACATATTGTAACGAGTAATTTTGTGAGACAAATAGTCATTTTAGTGTTCTATGGATTACAGTTAGAAAGGAAAATAAAGCAGAGAAGATACAGCAAGTATAACATATGGCTGTAACCCCAAACAGCAAACTTCTGCGGTGAATTTGCCAAGGCAATGGCGTATGTGCGATAATACTTAGGATTTGACAGTAATGGTAGTTTTTTTTATGGGGCAATTCTGACTTATTTTCTGGAGTCACAATAGGCAGCTAAACAAGTGTCACTATCAATTTACGCCTTTTTTTCTGGCTGGATTTGATTCAAGGTCATCTTGAAGTTCGGTTTCTATTTCAGCCTCATGATTGACTCAGTTTAAGTCCCTGAGGCTGTTTCCTCATTCTTAAATGGGGATGGAAATACCTGTGTGCCACCTGTCACCCAGGTGTGAGAATCTTCACAAGAGGTCATCTTTTAGATGATTTTGGGGTTCTCTATGCAAAGGTGCTTTGTGAGAATAAGGTGGAATTTTTTTTAAGAATGGAATTTTAAAAGAATTTTTCTCAAATGAGAAATAAACGTGCCTTGAGAATAAGACTGCAAATTTTGCTGCCAATGATTAATAAGAAGCCTTTACAGACAGAGTTTATGGTACTAAAGTTAGTGGATGGATGCTCAGGGTATATTTGGATTGCTTCAGTGGTAAGACCCAGAGATTGAGAGGTTTAATTGTATTTGCTTGATTCAATGACTTTTAGAGCTAAAGATACTTGGTTCTGCTTCTGTCACAGATACTTTGGGTTTCCAGAAATGAAATAACAATTTTCTGAGAGGGAGATTCCACTAAGGGGTTACAAGCTGATACCAGATTGCCTCTTTGTTATTAAAAAAAAAAAAAAGATACAGAAATAGGCTTTTTGAACTTCGAAGTTCTGTGATCCTTCTTGGAATCTGATGTTCGTTTTTATTTTTTTTTACTACGGAAGTAAAAAGCCAATGGAGTGAATGTCTTTGAGAAGCAAGGGACTTTTATTTAGGGGCCTCTGGCAGAATTTCAAGGTTTTAAAACTTGAACACTTACTCCCCGTGAATCTGTGGAGCAGTCAGAGCCCAGCCTACCTCCAAGAGTGTTGGCAACTTTCTAAAAGTCTAATTAATTTGGGTTAGTATTATGACTCAATTAGGCCTGATTAAGCTTTTCCAAAGGGATTACATGTGTGCTGGTCTCTTAGGAAGGACAGCAGTTGATCAGAGGTGTACAGGAATTTAAACAACAAAATGTCCTAAAAAGAAAAGAGAATGACTGAATGGGCTCCAGGAACACTTGTGTTGGTCTAGAACACACTTGCTGGGAATTCTCCAGGCAGCTGTCCTCCCTGCATATTCTATTTCAGAAAATTCAGATAATTGTTCTTGTTCCCTTTCTCAATCACCAGAGCATCTCTGCCATCTTGCCCTGCCTGGATGTTTTCATTCTCTCTAAAAGGTGAACCGAGTCCTCATTATGGACAAAATCTATGCTAAGTTGCTGGTGGGCAGGGGGCTGCAAGATGAACCGGACTGTCCTTCCCTGGTGGAGAATGCAGCCTTCTGAGAAAACAGGCATGCCTACAGACAATACAAGATATAGGCATTGTGCTAAGACTCGGGGAGCAGGGAGGAATTCAAGATTTCAAATAGGATCTTGGCATCCAGTGTTCCTCTTAAATGCTACCTAGTCTGTGTTAGAGGTCCTTACCAATCCAGAGTAGAAGGGCTGCTTTTGGTTTAGAACAGGGGTCCCCAACCTTTTTGGCACCAGGGACTGGTTTCATGGAAGACAATTTTTCCACAGAACGGAGTGAAGGGGTTGGTGGATGGGTTGTTTTGGGTATGATTGAAGTCATTAAATTTTCTGTGCACTTTATTTCTATTATTATTATATCAGCTCCACCTCGGATCATCAGGCATTAGATCCCAGAGGTTGGGGACCCCTGGTTTAGAGCTTTGTTCCATTTAATTGGGGAGCATGTTTCTGCTCACACTGACTGGTAGTCAGACCTCTCAATTTTGACCCAGCTCTACTGCTAAATAGCTGGATGGCCTTGATAGAATCCTTCATTCTCTCAGAAGATCTGTTTCTTCATCTCTACAGTGAAGGATCTGGACTCAAGAGGACTGCATTGAGTTCTGCCCTGTTGTTCTAGGAGGCTGTCTATAGCAACCACCAGGATTGGCAATCATTTGTCACCTACGGCAGGTGGTTTGAGTCAGCACTGCCTGCAGGGTTATATAAAAGTGCTTTAGAGCTGAAATGGCTTGGGAAGGCAGAAGAGAGGTGAGGGGACCTGTGTTATGAAGCCTTCTCCCCTTGGCAGGATCCTGCTGGACAGGGATGTACCTCATGGGTTCAAATCTCAGGCAAAAAAAGAAAACAACTTTACTAAATTTTAAACCATAGAATAAAAAAAGCTGGAATGCAAATACTTGAAGCAGTTTTATTTCCAATTGCATTTGCTTACAAATGTAGTACAGAACTGAAAAAGCACCCGTGGCGGTCTAGGAGATAACTATTTGCTAAGTGCTCTTTTTTTTTAACTAACAAATGAAAAATGAAATTGAAATTGCTGATGGCTTCATTAGATAGAGAGGGATTTCTAATGTGCGTTAATTTGGCATCTTTTTCCTGTTCAACTAGTGACAATTAGACTTGGTGCCTGTGAGTGTGCACGTAGTCTGCCCCGGGGGGCTTGTGTGCGTGCACCCACCTCTGCAGTTCAGACCTGGGAGAATTTCCCAGCTTGTGGGAAATCTTTTCTGACAGCTTGCTGGAGAGTACAGAATTGTACGTCTCCTGCTTTTATTCCTCACGAGGTTCAGACATATGCTTGTTATTTGTCCAGCTTTTAGTAGGACATTCAGTCCTTAACCCTGAATTGATTCTCAAGCCTTCCCTCTGTCCCTCCCTCCCCCCCCCCCTTTTTTTTGACATAAAAGTTGAAATTCATTCCAGTTTTAAGGTGAAGGTGTAGACCACGTTCCTTTCCCCTTCCTCTCACTTCTTTCAGGCTGATCCCCCACCTGGATGACAGAGCACCCCACCCTGGGTCTCCTTTTGGTCCTTGTCCTGTTTCATTGTTTGCAGAGCATGAAGGGTCCAGACTGACCTGTCTCCACCAGGCCCAGGGAAAGCTAGCTTCATGGAATAGTATAATTGAAAGCTCTTTTACATGTGCAGAGTTAGTATTTGTCTCTGAGCAAAGGAGACCAGTAAAGAAGCTTTTAGTTTAATGAAAAAATTAGCCCCTTTAGGATAATGATTGAGATACAGAAAAATAATGATGTGACCTGGTCACATGGCACCCGAGCAGAAAACTCCAAACAAGCAGACACTAAAATGATCAGCTCACGAAATTCCACACTTGTTCATCCGAGTGGCCTTTAGCTCCAGAATGCACAGGTTAATAATCAGATTTCCATTTGTCACACAGTCCTCCCCTCATTCCTCTCCAAGCCCTAAGGTTCTAGAACAGTGTTACTCAAAGCGGGATCCATGGAAGGCCGCATCAGCAGAGGATGATTCGATGGGAGCTTGTGAGAAAGGCAAATTCTTGTGTCGTGGCTCATACCTACTGAATCAGAATCTCTGCAAGTGGGGGCCTGCAATCTGTTTTTTCTCTATAATAGTGTGTGCTCAGTCATGTCCAACTCTTTGCAACCTGGTGGGACTATCGCCCACCAGCATCCCCTGTCCATGGAATTTTCCAGGCAAGAACGCTGGAGTGGGTTTCCATTTCCTCCTTCAGGGGATCTTCCCGACTCAGAGATGGAACCCACGTCTCTTGCATCTCCTGCACTGGCAGGCGGATTCTTTACCACCGTGACACCAGGGAAGCCCATTTTTTCTTTAGCCCCCTGGTAATGTTGACGTGCACTGAAGCTTGAGCAACACTGTTCTCAAATACAAATAGGGAAATCTATGAGCCTGGAACATCTTGGTAGGGCGGGTGGTCGGTGTTTTCCAAGACAAACACTAAAGA